TTATTGGGTGAAGCCAGGTTAGTTCTGTGCTCTAGCCTTTGAGACCGTCGGCCTACACACAGATTCCAGATAAATCCCTTTTTCATTAGTGCCTCTTGTTACAACCATGTTACTTTTCTAATGAGTGCAGTTCACGAATCGCCTACAGTTTGGAACTGGGACGGCAAATGGGCCCAACTGATGAGCTCAAAGACGAGCAGAATTGATCGTGTGCTTTGGAAGAGTTTTCGCAAAACTATTCTGGGATAACCACCAAAAAGAATATGACCCTTAGTGAGAGGTTAATCCCAGATTTTTAGACACCCTCTCACTGAGAAGGCCAACTTTTCACATGAAAAGTACAAAGCGTTTACCAGCGATAGGGAAGACGAATGTTTTGTGTCCATCAATTCACACGCAGCTGTGCCATGACAAATTACGTTAGAGCTGATTGAGAACAAGCTTGGAGCATCAGCCCAAATAAAGTGATGCGCCACTTTCAGAGGGGTTTGGTAAACAATCGGTGGATTTATTGCTGGGCAACGTTTCGCTTCTGACACAAGAGCTTCGTCAGGCCAAGTGAGTAAGTAAGGTTGATTGGGGTTTAAGGCAGACACTGTACAATACGCACTATACGAAATATGAGATACACATACTATGTACAATGTATAGAAACGGAGTATACAGTTTTCAGTACGAGACGTACAGCACAGACGATCTATACTGGTTATTAGGTGATAAGCAAAATGTCGCTTAAAATATACGAAATAAGGTATACCGTGTGCAGTGTACGATGGACATTACTCAGTATGCGATATTCAGTATGTACCCGTTACGGACCACAGTCACTTAATGCCTTCTTATTACAATGAACCCCTGTCTGGATAACCGCCTGGTGCGCTTGGCCAAACCAGAAAAAGTCAATGAACGTGCGAACCGTCTGATTTATTGATCAATTCACGTACAAGCGGTCAAAAGTGACACTAAGAATACAACGCATCTGTCAAGGGCGAGTGAAGAAAAACCAATGAAATCTGTCTCAACCTAAAACGGTTATTCCATTGGCAGTTATGTAGTCCCGTTACGTTCTAGGCTGGTTCTCCCAATGGTACCCAGCACAGTATTCAGTTAACAGCGAGGGAGACACCTTACAAAGTACGATATACAGTGAGCAGAAGAGAATACGCATTGTATGGAGTACAGTACACCGTATACAACTTGCAATATGTATACAAAATGTAAACTGGAACTTGGTAGGTATTGTGAAAAAGTATACCAGGATGACGGTATCAACAGGACTTTCCATCAAACGTCTGCCGGTGTAAATGTGATACTACTGATGTGGGCATGCGAGTAGTACGTTTTATAGTTAATCCGCTTCCCGTCTCTTGAAAAGTGATATCTGTTACGAAATTTGTGGGGTCGCATTTGCTTATATTTGCGTAACAGTCAATAAATATCCAGGAAAGTCCAGGAAGACGCGTTCTGGGAGAGAATGGATATTCAGTTTTTTAAACAAGATGCATATGGGAGATTTGCTCCCCTGTCCAATAGTCTGTAACTGTTCAGTGGGCATTTTCTAATAAATAACTCCGCATCAAAGGCTTTCTTCCTTTCATCGGCACAAGGCTCCTGCTGTGAAGAGAACAGGGACAAGTGAACTGGATAGATTTCATTGGGTGAGATGTTGCACTCATAGTTTTAAACAGGGTGATGGACATCGCGCGTGCCCTTTTCACATGTTTGCTGAATACACTCGGCCACACAGTCACCAAATATGCCGTCACAAAATATCCTATGCAGCCAAGTTCTTTCCAGGTCCTCCCTATGTTTAACCGGTAAAGTTCATCCTGCTGAAGAACGAATGCTCTTGTTTGGCTTTTTTGAGTGTTGCATGAACCTTCAACATGTCGAAGGCATCAGTGGGACTTTTGAGCGTTGTTGTAAACACCGCATCTGCTGTACGCTACCGATCACCTGATTTCAACCTGGTCATTTCGCCTCTTCAGATACCTGTGTCTCTCTCAAGTATTGAATCAAAAGTGCCGGCCTTCGATAGACATGTACCATCCTCAAGTAGTCATATGCTTTTTACTTGAGTTTCTGCTAGTGCGGTTTTGTCATCTACCTCTTCTAAGAACTATTATAGGAACTCAGGAAGACCATCAAACTCATTTGAAGGCAAGAAACATTGTGTATTGTGCCGTTCTACACCCGCTTGTTTAATCCCCTGATCACCAAATAGTTCTGAATAAGCGACAATTCCTTCAAAATCAGAAGGCTTTTGTATTCTCAGTGCCACCTCCGTTCTCTGGAAGACATTTTAAGAAGGCATGTGAAACGGTTAATGCGTTAAACCCTCTCGCCCTACTACTCGTGGATAGTTTTCTCGCAGCTGCGACGCTGTTTCAGTCGAGGAAATCATTCGTGACCGAGTGGATTGACGAAAACTCATCCCTGACTTGCGGGTCAATCGACTAACCAAGACAAGACAGTTACTGAATAGTCGTTTGATGAGTTGGGCACACCAATCACATCAAACACGTTCGCCTGTTCAGACATGATAATTCAGATGCGTCCAACGTGCGTTGGTGGAGTAGTGGTTACACGCTCACCTCGCATGTCAGGTGTCCGGGGTTCTAATCCACTGGATATGCACTGTTGATGAGCTCTAATAAGAGCGAAACTCTAGTCCAGTACTCCCCTTCGGTGTGGACTCACCGGAACAGGAGGACGACCGTTCAAACAAGATTGGTTTGACTATGGACAAAATACCCATCCCGCAAAACCCCGAAAACTCATCAGCTTGGAGAATTAGTTCATTTACTGCACCCGATTAACGTACGCCACAAAAGTTGAAGAAAACGACCGATTGCTTACGGCCTGAGTACATTACGAGCCATGTGAATTACGCTCAGTCGTTTTCCCATCTCACGCACCCACCTCTGAAATCCGCGTGTATCTTGTCGCGATCACCTTTAGGATACTCAGTAGGAGGATAAACTTGGTCTGTACATCCAGTAAGCAAAACTATCAACCATAGATCAGAGTTTCACTCAGTGACGCAACTGGATGGTGAACTGTCTGAAATTTTGTATTTCATTGAAGAGTCCCGCCATTTATTGGCAAGGACTTGTAACATACAGAAGCGAAACGTTGTCTATGTTGGATCATTACGAGTGAAGAACAGGTCAGGTGACATTCTGGATGATCTGGCCCGCCGTCAGCTAAAGGTCACGATGGAATCTCCCAGAATCTGCAGACATTTGTGAATTTCGGTTAGTCAGTTGGATACTTATTGCCAATGTGACCAAGTTTTGTCAAAATAGAACAGAGTTATGGCAAGTGATAGAGACCGCCTTGGTGATTGCAAACGTGTAAAATCTCAGGTTGGATCTTTGATCAGGAATGATTTCAAATGCACTTGAAGTGCAACTAATTGGTCTACTTTTGGTCAAAACACCTTGCTGTGAACAACTCTGTGTTTTCTGGGCTTGTATTGTCTGTAAAGTTTGGAGGCATCGTGCAGTGACGTACTGAACCAGTGAGGCATCGGTGTTGAACACTGGTGTCACGTTGTCGATGATGATGTTGATGATGATGACGTATTGATCGAGATCGGGGTGTCATACCCTCGGTTAGTCTGAAATGCATTAAGTTCGTCGCTTCATTCAAATTTGGCTGGAACAGTGATGTGACAGATAGCTTCTCGGATCCTTTCACTTTAGGAGCCACTGGCTGCCAAAACGAATCGTTTCAAAAATCTGTTCCAACAAAAACCGTAGACGTCTTCTAGTCATGCTCTTCCGCCTCACGAGATCATGAAATGGGTCAATTACTTGCCCCAGAAGTCTGGCAGTTTAAGTACAATAAAAACCGAAAAAAAGGTTTCATAAAGGAAACTACTCACAAGGTTGCTGAAAAAAAGGTTGTATTTCATGGTTTTGAGTAAAACTTTCCGAAAGGTGGATGAACTAGCTCGAGTGTCAAAAACGATTGTTTTCGAATCACCGTCAAATGAAAAGATTATGCTGTTAGATTTGGACTCCTTTCCAGGTGAGTTACCGGGTAGTTGGCAGTCAAAAGCACGCGTCAGATTGCACTTTTGTTGGGGATTATCTCCACCTTTCTTAGGTGCCGGTAACATCACCAATCCAAACAGTCCATATCAAATCGCCCCGTGGACCGATTTTCTATCGATTCAATCACCAAGTCCGTCCTGTTTTTTCTACCAAATATTGAATCTTCGTTGGCTACTTGAACCACATTACTCCTATCTTTTCCACGTCTGTCCACTGGCGCGGCAATCCAAATAACTCAACCGTGCTTCTGAACTATCGTTTATTTTGATCCTTCAATCCGTATGAACCCGTCGATAATGTTTGATTCCATTTTTTTCAATGAACTCTCCTCGATTGTCTTTACTTTCTCCGGGATTCAAAAATATTTCAGAATGAAAACAAAACATTTGGAAAGTGGAATGCTGCCACTTTTAAGGTTAGCAACACATGACTAACCCAAGCACTGCCGACCAACGTGAGCAAATACGGCGTTCCCAACGCTGAAGGTTTTCGAAATTTTGTGTTGAAATATCGTCCTGTAAGCGAGGTTAAGATATGCCGAAAAACTAAAGGGCACTAGACAGCTGTCTCATCCCTATTGGGAACCGCCAGCAATGCGCATCCTCGAATATATTTGAACCAGCGACTACGGGCTTAGTAGTTCAGGCCAGGCAGTCACGAGTCCCTCTTCCTGGAGGTCCTTTAAAGGTGCGCTGCTGAATATTCCTTCTCTAGAGTTCTTCTCGGATCTTCACCATTGACTGTCTCCACGTACAAAATGAGATCTTCGTTGGTTAATCTTGAGATCTCATCCTGGAAGTTAGGACATATTGAATATTTCCTGAGTATTATTAAATCAATTGCCTGGAAACATCAAAACCGAGGGATTCAGCTTGGCTCCAGTTGAGCCTCTCGAGAAACCAAATTAGTTTGCAAATGAGTGTATTTCGCTGATTCCGTTCAATTTGGCTTCAAGAAGAACACAAGGATGACGGAAACCCGGGGATCGCGCCCAACTGATGAGCCCCAAGAAGGGCGAAACCGGTCGTGGGCTGTCGAGGAGTTTTCAGCAACCTTATGCTTAATGCATTACAAAAATATATACGATTAAATCTTCTCCGATTGCTATGACACTATAAGCAACTCAGAGAAAGGAAGAGTTAACTGAGTGTGTGAAACTTGCCTCTGAGTAGTCGTGACTCACGGAGCCAGTGAATACTTGACCACGTGATGTGACTTTCCGTCAGTGAAGGATGAGTGATAATCTGTCAAACTATTGGTCAGTTAGTCTTGGCCAGAGGGCTAAGTGTTCAGCCATTGGCCGGACGGTCGCGGGTTCGAAACTCTACGAAGAATGAAATAACTATACAGTGCTTTTTAACTTTTCAACAAAGACTGAAATCTCTACTAAATAAGATTAAATCTCCCATTATCATGAAATCGATTGACTGGCCACTGAATCGCCATCTCAGAGGTTAATTTAACTAAGAGCATGGATTAGACTTTGAATAACTAGAGAAGTCTAACTTGGAAACCGAATCGTAATACAGCCAAAGTATGGTGTTTTCTAATCCATCGACCCCCCTGCAACAACTCTTTCTATAAAAAAGACTATGTGGTCGTACATAACTCCCCCATCGTCAAGCGCGTCCGTTCCACCACGCCAGAAATAACTCTCAAACACCACCAGATTTGCTTGGCTATTTTAGGTTCCACTAGAAAGAGAGTAGAATCACACTAATTGGAGTGAACCAAGCGGAAAAACTATTCTCTGACTGACGGACCGATAACATCGGAATTCATACGAGTACGAATCAAACCACTTTGCTGACTGTCTACAATTTTATCCGCAATAACCTCGCTGTTCTCCCAATCCACGGTAGGAGAACTTAATCGAGAAATTAGGGTTTTGTTAAAATAGATTGAGCCATCAAAAAACTGCCAGACTTTTGGAAGTAAACAGAACTCTGTTGCTGTGCCGCCGCTGTCTCCGATATTAATTCAGTCCTCTAGTCTTGTTAAACGCGTCGGTAAATGGCCTGTTGCCAAGTACGGCATCAAGCTCCCAGTATGTGGTTGCTGTGGCAACCAATGCAGTTTTCCAGTTGACTTCTTTACTCCAATATAGGATAGTTCTAACGATGTCTTCCGGTCAGAAGCATATCTAGCAAGCGCTGGGTTACATGTCCGGTGCTTTTGAGCGCATGCGATCCAATGGTTCCTGACACAAGGGTGCGGCAATAGCTAGGAATAGGCCGGAAATTGATGTGGTTAGATCGCATTCCTGTAAAGTGTTTGTTCAATCAACTGTATCAAGTACGTGTGGAAAACTAACACCTGTGATTTGTAAAAGACCTGGCTGGTTACACTGGGATATTCTACAGAGGGGCGCACGGATTGGTGAGCTTTCAGGTCAATACTTTCTTAGAAAAGATCACTTTACAAGCAGTCGGACAACTCAAAAGTTGTGTTTTAAGTATCGATTTTGTAGTTGGACGCATAAAGAACAAAACACTTTATCGTTTAATTTCATTACTACCTGTTCAGTCGTAATCAAGTTATGTATGAAAGTGCAGGCCACTGTGAAACCGCAGGTAAATTGCGAAAACAGCGTGTTATGTCAGAAAAGCCAATACTGTGGCGGCTTGGAGAGCGAGACTAACAAACAGGGGTTTATAAAGGAAACTACTCACAAGGTTGCTTAAAACTCTCCGACAGTCCACGACCGGTTTCGCCCTTCTTAAGGCTCATCAAGTGAGCTCAGTCCCCGAGTTTCCGTCAACCTTATGTTCTCCAGGAACCCAAACTGGACTGTTTTCGAGAAATATACTCCTTTGCGAATCAATTTGGTTTTCACGAGAGACTCAACTGAATCTCTCGTTTGTCATATTGAATTGAGCCTCTCGTGAAAACCAAACTGATTTGCAATTGAATGTATTTCTCGAAAACAGGGGTTTAGTTCATCCTGGGTCAAGTCATTAATCGTAACAAGACTAGTGGGGTAGGTGTAAAGAGGATAGAATACAGACGGGGCCTGTTCCTGCGCAATTCCGCTCAGAGTAGAGCAACACTCACTGATTCCCGTTCGTACAGAGATGAATGGTCATCACACTTCCACGCTTAGTTGCGTGGAATTGCGTCAGTGACCTGACTACTGACTACCTGGGAGTAGTCTGATTTACCCAAAAGGTGCGTTCCCGAATAGTGCTTTCTTACCGCACGATCTGGTAGTTTAGTAGCTGATCCAAAAATTCGCGGTAGGAAATAGTCCGCTACGCCTACACTGCAGTCTACTTACATAGATGTTCTGCAGGCTGATTTGCAATTGAATGTATTTCTCGAAAACAGGGGTTTAGTTCATCCTGGGTCAAGTCATTAATCGTAACAAGACTAGTGGGGTAGGTGTAAAGAGGATAGAATACAGACGGGGCCTGTTCCTGCGCAATTCCGCTCAGAGTAGAGCAACACTCACTGATTCCCGTTCGTACAGAGATGGATGGTCATCACACTTCCACGCTTAGTTGCGTGGAATTGCGTCAGTGACCTGACTACTGACTACCTGGGAGTAGTCTGATTCACCCAAACGGTGCGTTTCGAAGTGTTTTTTTACTGCAGGATCTGGTAGTTTAGTAGCTGATCCGAAAATTCGTGGTAGGAAATGGTCCGCTGCGTCTACACTGCGGTCTAATTGCATAGATGTTCTGCAGATTGTGAGTTGGAGGCAGGCGAGGTGCCATTCTTGGCAAGCGAAGGCATTTCTGACAAGGTGAGATGCGGGAAAGATACGCTGCGCCAAGGAGGACGACAGACCAGAGTCTTGATTTTATCACCTCTTAATTCAAGTTGTATACTTTTTGTCACATAAGGTCTACATTCCCTAAAAGTGGACGGTAGAGAATACCTCTTTCTGAGAGCTTCCGTATGTGCGCTGGCTTCCAGACGCTCGCGTGAATAAAAACGTTATACCACATGGACTGAACCTACGTGTTCAGCTGAATAATCCGCACGCGAATAGCGGAGTAAAGCTCATTGAGTATTTGCTTGAAGAGGTTTTCTGGGGAACGTTTTTAGTTGTCACATCGTCTGTCGTACCTTAAACCAGTAAATCTGACAAGTAAGTTGATTGGATTTTTTCGGAATCCACAAATTCAACGTTTGAGTGGAGAACCTTCAACTTTCAGAAGATTTTCCAACTTTGTTTGCAATCCATTTTTCCCGGGCTTTGCTTCTGAAGTTATTGCCAACAAAATTTCAGAAATTAGGTTGTTTACTGAGTATTTCTCATATAGCCCCCTGGGTAAATATAAAATCATAAACCTCCGTGGCCTTTGTCCACATTTCATGCATTCATAAACACCATGTGTGAAATTATGTTCAGTAGAGTTCAAAAGTTGAATTAAGAGAGGGTCGTTTCATGCATTCATAAACACCATGTGTGAAATTATGTTCAGTAGAGTTCAAAAGTTGAATTAAACCCGAGAGGGTCGATATATTCAGTTGGAACTCTATTCTGTCAGCGAGGCCAATCCACACTTCAAAGCATTGTGCACCCATTTAATCTATGTTCAGAACCATCAATGCAGAGATTTCTAACTCGACTGAACAGCACTCATCCTTCAATCACGAAGTTCACATCACTTGGTCATTAGTTGATCGGCTGGCTCCTCTTCCAGTGATGACTACTCACTGGGGAGTTTCACCCAGCTTGTGAAATTATTCTTCCTCGGAGCCACTTGGAAATCGATCGTGGGGAGATATTTTCTTTTGCCTCCAGGCTTTTTAGAAAAGACTGACCTCACCGAAGAAACAAAATCCAAGTGAAAAACGATCAATAGTTGGCGTGCGTTTGTTGTTAGGATAAAGTGCTTTTCCACCAAACTACGGCTGTATAAACTACTAATAACAATGTAGTAGTCACTACCACTATGGAAACACTGCAACATCAAGCAAGATTGGAGGGCCACAATGCAAAGATTGTTGGAGTCTTGTTTTGCAAATTGCGATGGGTGGCCGAGCATCCAAATGGACGAGCTGGGCGAATTGGCTTGATGGGTACGTCCGCTCACTTGGAATAACGCAACCGGTTTTCCAAGAGTCTGGTGTAAACTCTCTGAAGAAATATTGACTTGAGAATGCATGAAAACTCCATAATACATTATTTTTTGCGCAGTGCTGAGAAGACCAAGTGAGAATTCCATAACCTACAACCCATAAAATGCAGGGTATGACGTGATGGTATATTTGTTATCGTCTGGTCGTTAGTATAGCTTGTTTTAGTGCGCCAGGAATGGTTGAAATTTGAATAACTGCTGCTTTCCGTTCAAATGGGAATTCGAGACTCTTCGATGGCGGTACGCTGGCCGCGTCATCAGCAGAACATTCAGGTGAAATGATTATATTATGCAATTAAATAACGTGAAACATGTGAACACGAATATGCCATTATCCCCTAATCAAAATCAATTTTTGGAATGAAGAAAAACGAAACGTCGGAATGCGAGAACATGGTCTGCACTTCATTCTTTCGACTACTGGTCCTCGAGGGGATTCTGGTGCTAAATCTACGAGACTGGTTGTACGCGAACCTATCTTTGTCTATTTTAATGTTCAAATATTATTGTAAATAATACTACTATGTGTATTGTTAGTAGTGTGAGGAGACTTTGGAATTTCGACAATTTCGAGAAGCACTCTCCGGCTGCATCGTGCTAATCGGGAATCATCAGCGGTGTGCATCGCACGAGAACCCAGATGTTGGCCTCTTAGCCCCTCTGTCTTGAGCTGCTGATTAGCTGTAAGAGTAACTTGCATTTACACACGTTATGGCGCCCCTCATTCTTCCTGCAGTCCCCTGGAGTCTTGTGGGACGCACAAAAATGCTTTACAGTGCTTGCTGACATTTCAGTATGGATTGGTTACATTTACAAGACGGAACCCCCGTCATTCATTTATATTTAATA